TAAATCTTATGTGTCTTGTGGCCCACACAAGTCGGTTACAGCGATGAGCGGTGTCAATATTGGTCCATTATAGGGCCTCCGAGCTCGAAGACCAGCAGCCTGCAAAGGATTTCGAACAATTTGTGCAGTTACCCTTCCACCAAACATCTCTCTACTTGTGGAGGTTGCAGTTACAAATCTGTTTCTAAGATGACGTAATCGCATTGCTTGATCTTCCTGGAGTGACGGCGGTCGGCAATAGTTCCAGTTTGAAGCACTCTCATTCTAAGATTAATTATTGTCTGGCGTGAACAATTAAAGGCTCTTGCAACAGTGACCACAGACTGACCAGCATAGAGCCTACCTATTGCACGTAGACGTTCTAAGTTTGAAAGGCGCGGCATTTTCTAACAAAGATGAAAATAACAATTTTAATTTGTTTTTCCAGTTCAAGTTACGTGTGCGTATTCAGTTTAAGCAAACTTGCATCGATTGAACTCACGAGTTTGTGTTTGCACGTGTTTTTCAGGTTTTTCATCTTTATATGCTCAAAAGTCACGTGATCCACGTGACTTTACAATTTTATGAAATTAAAGGCTTCTTACTACTTACTGTCGTTAGAAACACTTTAAAATTTATTTGACTTACCAGAAAAAAAAAAAATTTGTTGAAATTCATTAGTGTCAAGTTTTTAATTTGGCTGAGTACATTATTATACTACCACTATTCGATTTCAAAATGAGTAAAAGGCACCATTCTGCTCGAATCAGTAACGTCTTATGTAAACAATGCACGCGCCATTGAGCCAATGATTGACGCCGCGTGATATGGCGTCATGTGTTGAATGCAGTCATCTTTTACAGAGATATTAGAAGACTTTCTAATACTCTGTGTAACAGATTGACTATTTTCGTGCGTTACAATATAATATTTCGACAAATATTTTCCTAGTAATGACAACTAAGATTTTGATAGAGTATAGTGTTGCTCTTAAGGGGACATAACTTGCGTGCCACGTGAGTAATTCGTGAATTTTGGCAGTGAAGGTTATTCCATAAGTTAAAAATTCACGCTTTTTGGCTAGTGTTGATATTCCATATTTTAAGTCTGCAATTAAGTTTTCACATAGCCAAGTATATGTAAAATAGAGCCTTTGAATACCGATTTAAGGTAAGACACTTTGTTAAGTGGAAAAATTAAGTATTTTTATTTAACTTTGAGAATACCTTTGAATATGGTCCTAGGTTTTTCAGATTGACTGTAACATATATAAATTCCAAACTGATCAGATAATAAATGTAGTCTACGTGTACATCTAGAACTGGTGGTTTTCAAGTCGCAGTTACAATTGTCTTAGTACGCCGGACTTAATACCAATTATGCGTTATATCAAACCATTAAAATCAATATTTGTTTTTACTAAGCATTATTTGCTAAGTTTTTACAATTTTAACTTTTGGTTTAAATCAACATATTGCAAAGATGAATACGGGCATATAGATGCGGGCATATAGTTTCTTACTTGTTCAGCGGCGGAGAAATAGACCATTTAGCGCCAGTGACTTTTCAAGATTTTTTGTTCATATAAAGTGTTAGTTATTTTTCGATTTTCATAAATTTTTTACCATGTGATGCCTACTGTCATTTAAGATTTCATAAAACTAATTTACCATTTTCATTATCACCGTAAATGACATCATTTTGAGAAAACTGTATTTTTTGCCTTCAAAACATTTTTTTTTTTCAGGTGAGTGTTATTAATTCGTCGTTTAAACATATATTTGATTCATATCAACATGTAGAATGAATAAATAAGATCATATACATGTAGATATTTAAAAAATGTGACGTCATTAAGCGAGTGTTATTCATTTTTCGTTTCATTCCAATCAATATATCTAATAAATCAATACGATCATACATATAACCAAACACTGTTTCTGACATATCCCTTTGCCGAGAAATAGACAAATTTGTCACGGTCACCTTTTAAAATTTTTCGTATTTTAATTTTGTCCAATAGAGGTGGTTATTTCTATAAACCAGTTTAAATATTTTGTTGATAGCGGAAATGATGTAGTCTTTTTTAACCTTTAGTTGCTGTAGTCCTTTTCTGATATGTATAACAAATGGTAACAAATGTATAAATGCAACTGATCTTTTTGGATTTCGGTTGAGAAGTGACATTGACACCGGAAGAATCATAGTTTAAACATACATTATGCAAGAGCTAAATCTGCCTATTGCAGGTCTTTCTTTAGGCCCGAAATGTTATCTAAATTATCAATTAGGCATTAATTAACTTATCCAGACTATAATCAACTCTCGATGTCATCGCTAGCCTGCGATATTTACCGGATTTGAATCGGATTTGCTGCTCAACGCTCATTGATGATTTAATCCAAAACGTGGATAATCAGGACTCTGTTATTTATCGTACCGACTTTAGTAATGATGATCGAGGCTAGGCCTGAAATTCAAAAGCTACATCTCGGTTCAGAATGAATCAATTTGACTGAAATTTTCAGCAAATTCCCTTTACATTATCTAGTTTTTAACTATTATAGAAAGAACTGCAAGCTCTTTATCTAATCTCCCATAATTCCCCTTTAAAGGCCAAATAAAGGCCGGAACTGAAACCCGGCAAAGCTGCGTCGCGGGTCTAGTTCTATTTTCTTAGTGTGCCTACATCGATTAATATTGTATAATTTTCCTTACTCTTGTATTGTTTATTATAATTATTTACTACTGACATGTTAACCTAGAAATACATGTAAATGATAAGAGAATTTAGATTACCGGGGTAAATGTATTTCTTATATCTTCTGTGGTGAATGGTCTCCAACACATCAACAATTGTGAATGTAGCCACAATTAACTAAATGATTATGAATTTCGAATAAGTATGTACTGTTTCTTGAAAATCTTTTTGAAAACTTATTGAATGCTGTTTTATAGTGTATCGATCCGATATAATCTTGATAAACCTGGCCGATATTGTATTGTATTTGTCTAGATTAAACACATGTTTTAACATTGTCCAATACGATTTGTTGAAATGGGATCTAATCAATACAATATCCGAATATCAGATGTATATTTTTGACAATTTCGACAACGTAATTTTGTTAGACAAAGTGCGAATTGGGAGTTATTTTTATGAATCGCATTAAACAATGTAAGTAACCTTTTATAAAATACGGATGCGCCATTTTAAGCAATATGAATCACTTGCAAACTAAAATATGCCTACCGTAACAACTGATATTTAATTGACTTTTAGAGCATTTATGATGCAAAAGTACACGATGAAAGTACTAGCCTGAAATTGAATTTTAAATGTTTTTCTCTCAAATACTTCGATTTTATATATACTGTTTTATGAACATTAATGGCATTTACTTGTACTTACGTGTGTCAATCCATTTTCTTAGTAAAGGTACGATGCACTAAGCAATCCAGTCTGACAAATTAAACAGTGGTAATGGGAATATCATAGTCATGCCGTTTCAGTTTGTTCTTATAACGGGGCAGAATGAATATTTCCAAATATTGCTACCATGACATTGGCGTCCAAAAGAAACTATAGTGTATGTGTTCCAGAAATAGTAAGCATACTCTGCCTCGTGGGTTTTATTGAATAGATCTTTGATTATTGCTGACATGGATATACTGTATCCTTTATTGATATGCAAACTCTAGCATAAAGGGGCGAGATGAGAAATATAAACACCACAGGCTAGGGTTTAAGGTATTTTACTATGCATTAATTGAATGAAATGAAATGGAGATTAATGTCATACTGTTCTGCTCCGACTGGGCTAATGAAGACGGATATACAGTGTTTGTATGCGGGAAATTTTTCACGGCCAGCGACGCTACGACCTACCCTTATATCAAATTCCAACTGACAAGGATTCTTTTACGTGTACACATTTGCGTGCACCTGGGGCCTCGGTTTTCCGTACCATCCGAACAACTATACGTTGCCCCTTGCATGCATTGTAGCAAGAAAGACCATGCCTTTAGGATTCATCTTCTAATTCGATTCTCCATTTTATTGATAGCGTGAAAAGTATAATCGCTATCAGCTCCCGAGTTGACATTGACGCTCCGAATTCAGTTGTCCTTAGTTGCTGATTTGATCAACATACGCACACTTACAACATACAACTATACATGTAGTTGAAAGCCGTTTTGCCATGTTGAAAAGTCAACATAAACCCGGGTTTAAAGTCTTGGTATAGCTTCTTTTGAACACGAATTATTTATTCTATTTCCACGGATTGGAAGGTTGTGATAGTATATTATTAAGCCATTATAAAGGGTATCGGGCAACATTGAAATGGGTCTCTTGAATATGAATTGGTTGTATGTTAGCTGTATGGCATTTGCTTAAGAAGCAAGGGGCGTGCTTTACCAACACCATGTCCACTGTTTCCCCAAATAATGTACACAACGAATTTTCTAACTACTATTTGAAAACATGCAAACAATTAACGTGCACAGGTATTTCTTTTGAACTGGTGCAATTCTCTTCGGGCCAATAAATAAAAAAAAAATATTTTAAAAAAGGCACACTTACCTTTTACTATCATCAAATAGCATAATAAGTAAAAACAGTCTTTATTAAAATCAAGATGTGTAAAATGTGTGGGATAAGTGATGGTTGTGCTTTAGGTGCCAAGGAAAAAATAATATGATTAACGTATTTTAAAATGGGAAGAAATAAACGTATAAAGCTTTCTATGCAAGAAAATTTAACATATCCCAAATATTATAATACTGTTGCTAAACGGTTAAAACGATTATAGTTCTAAATGTTATATGTGACCTACGTAGAACCCAGGTCACATATACATAAGAAGCAATAAGACAAGACAATGACGTTTACATATGAATTAAAAACTGCATGATATAACGACACGTCTACCACAATTGAACATACCAGCTGCAGCATACTAATTTGTTGGAACGTCATAGTGAAATATATAAAGCGAAATACTATAACCAATACCTACCTATTAAAGTTACGAAAAGTACATCGAAACAGCTAGTTTACTTTTCATGGTTAATCCAATACTGCTGCGATTGAGTGCAGGCGACCCAATGTGTATTTTGGCTAAATCATGCAACATAAGTATAGTGACATAGAAATTAACCTTATAACAACAAATTTCTTAAATTCTATACACCAAAAATTCTAAACATGATGACAGTGATATTGGTCCACTAACCATCTATAAAAGCATTAGCTGATACGAAAATTACAAAATGCATGTTGTTAAAGAGGTTTGAAATACCACTAAAACCAAAAATTATGCTTCACAATGTATAGAAAAGTCTTGTCCTAGATACATAGGTTTTGTCAACACCAAGCGTTAGGTAGCAGGCATTTACATAGCTGAAACAACACTTGTGCCCAGATGAGAATAATTAAGGGTGCCAGTTGTTATTGGTTGTTGGATCTCCAAATATATTATACATTTTCACAATTAACCATCATGCTCAGCCATCCGTGTTAACATACCATGCCCCCAACATCAACAATCATTTCATTATTCATTAAAATGTCAATTCCCCAACATCACACGTGCAAAATATTATTTTTCTTTCTTTATTTTTTGCCTCAATTTTACGTTCAAGGGTAAAATGACGGTAATTCATATGGAACGTCTTGTTTGCAGTGGAATGACTGAACGGCGTTTGAAGATGAGATCCTCAAGACTTTTTCGTTTAAAAACAGAACTAATTCGTTTAGAAACATTGCCTAATATGCTTCGTCGTCTTTTCACAGGTTTTGAGTACTGGTTATCGACAATGAAAGCTTGAGCAATGAGTTCTCGAAAAGCAACATTTATTGCTTGATAGTCTTCTGCTGCTGAAACTTCGTAAAGTTTACAGTTAAAACAGAGTGCCGTCTGACGGACCTCGTTTATGCGGACGTCACGTAGGTGTTCTAGATCGGTTTTGTTGCCTAACAGCAAGATGGGAATGTTAGATGTTTTTTTATTTCTTCTTAGCCTTTCTATTTGGTATTTCGCATGATAGAAAGATTGGCCGTCTGCTACATTGTACACCACTACAAAGGCACTGGCATCCCCTCGCGTAATATCTGGCTCATTGTCGTTTACCTGAAAGAAATAATTCTGATTTTTCACATATTTAAATAAGAGTAACCCAAAAGGTCCACAAAATTCAAATTATGCGGGTCGTCGCCAACACAGACAAGACACAAACTATGAAAATTTCTCATGAATGTCAAAAGATGAGAAGGGAGGTGTGTGTGGGTGGAGCTGGGGGGGGGGGGGTAAATAATTCACAAATCCTTCAACAATCATTTATTCTTCGTGAAAATAAACCAGATGGCAAATTCCATACTAGTTAGTATTGTGGGAAATTCACCCAACTCGGATATTTTGGATGTAAATCTCAAACATGGTGCAAGAGATTTCGAGTGTAGAGAATTATTTGCTCTCAGATTATGAACTAAATCACAAGATGAGAGAAAAAAATAATCTTGCATCAAAGAGCTAATGATTTCGGATTTTGTGAACCTAGAAGATCAGTTTAGGACTCCACAAAAAAGAAATTCGTCGATGAATGATTATATTTTCTTAAATTGTTACGACTTAACACATTGTACCTCTTTTCAAATAAGAATGTTGAAAAGTGGTGAATATGCTATTTGAGAATGTTTCGTCGCATAACATCTACCCCCACCCTTTCTTCTGTCATTATCTCACGACACCATCAATAGCTGATGACACGTAGGGCCAGACAGTATATAAGTTATTGTGTGAAATCTGATATTCCCGTAAATAGTTGTTGGCGTATTTTCAATAAAAAAAATTCAAAAGGTGTAATACAAATGACAAATAGTTCTATAGTCAACTAAATTAATCATTCTCGTACACTAACAAAACAACATGTGGTATATTTACCGTGTTTGGTGACGTATCTCTGATCTCCATATTGATACAATCATCTTTAACATTCCATGTTGTACGATAGGTATGGTCTAAAAGAAAGTATCTGTATGTGGGGTATTTTGTAAAATAGTAAAAAAAAAATTAAAAAAAAAAAAAAAATTCGATCTAACAAAAGAAATGAACATATCAAATTTAAAGTAGCGAAGTCTCTCACTCAATATCATCCAAAGTCTTCGACATTGAAAACACGAATTATTTGTCAATTTAAATCAATATTGATATTGTGATCTTACCATTGGTACACGAATCGTGTACATGTTACCATAATGCGTTTCAGCGCCATTTGTTACAAGGGGCTTGAAGAACAAGACAGACACATTCCACAAGTCATGTCAAACGGTGACCCCATATTCTTATCTGTTGTTGTTGTACTTACTGTTTAACGTCCGCTTCCACCGAAGGTGATATCGCAGACAAGTTGTCTTATCTTCATTTTTTTTATTATCTTAGCGCACGCACAGGGGTCTTTCCTGTGGGATAAAACCGGAGTACCCGGAGTAAACCCACGAGGTTGAGAAGGCGCCCCTAATTCCAAGCCACATACGCTCACACCAGGGATCGAAGCACAACCGCAAGCCAGAGGTGACCGGCCAGAGGTGACAAGCCCGAGGTCGAAGCGTGACACTCTAGACCGCTAGGCCATCCCAACCCGTCTTCTTATCTGGAGAGCATGCGCAATAAACACTATCGGTATAGACTGGAATAACCAGACGCTAGCGATTGCCATTCAGTTGAGACTTATGGCGTATTTCGCCGAACATAACTGAAAACGGAAACGATTGAATGTAAATCACTTTATATACATTCATATTACATTATTATATGCGTTGCGACCCATTTGTGTCAATTTCTAGATCCCAAATATTAGCGATGTAGCTCCTTTAACCAAATCGGCAATTTCATTTTTATGTATCTTTGGATATCCTTCTGTATGCAACACAGGCCATGATAATATTTTTTTCTAAATTTGTTTTAGATGGATTCACTTTCGTTAATTACTATATTACCAGAGTCAAATTTTTCATGATTACAGCAACAATAAGCGTAATATACAATAAAAATAGAAAAAAAAACTATCTCATCGGAAGTACTAAATACACGCAATACGGTCATTGCACAATCAAATACCCAGTCACTTGCCGTCTAATAGCCATACTACTGTTCTGGCTATGTGTGGTTTAACAGCTTAAAATACATACACGTGCATTCAATGAAATCGTCAAGCAAGTCTAATGTTTCATGCAGTATAAAATAATGTACGATTGGCACGTCGTCCGTACCATTATATTTTGATAATATTTAGTTAGAGGTTTGGCTCCTTTGAATTGACTGTAGCACTCATTACGAACGCATTGTGAAAAATATAATGCTTTACCTTAAGCACAATTACCGAATTTAAAAATGCGTGACGTCATCCTTTGACGTTGGTGTGCCATTAAAGGATGACGTCACATCTGTATTTTAAATTTCGATAATTGTGCTTAATAGTCCATGGGCTAGGAGGGGTAACTGTGCACCCCCACCCCCATGAATAAACATTTTTGGTATTTTCACATTGCCTATGATCTGCCCTTTCAGAAAAATAATGTTAACAGCAAAAATACTGGGACTCAAGTTGCCACGGCAACCGTTTTCCGACCACACCCATTTTTTTCAACAGTTCCAAAATTAAATTAATAAAACCCATAACACTTCTTACAGTGGATCAAATTCCATATATTTTATTTCAGCATATTTGTTTTTCTTCATTTTTTATAATGTGTGTATTTTCATTATTTGACCGTGTCGTGTATGACCTTGACAGAGGTCAAACTTCAACTTTTCTGAAAAATACCCTAAAAAATACAATTTATGCCGGTAACAATGCACCTAATATGAAAAAATACTTTTAATATTAGTTATTTCTGTTGTTTTAGTACTCATTAATGTATTGCCTCTTCAGAAAATCAAGTTAACAGTAAAATAATAGCTTTTGTAAGCAATGTCACCCTTCTGTTGACCACGCCCATTTTAGGTATTTTGCCTAAATCACACCAATAGATGGAAGTTAAATGCACATAACTTCTGTCATAGTGAAACAATCTTAGCATATTTGGTATCAATATGTTGCTTTTAAGTAACTCTTTAACATTGAAATTATTTTGTAATTTTATATTTTCATTTGTGACCTTGAGAAAGGTCAAATTCTATTTTTGGGTGACAATTTCCTTTAAAATTCATTTTTGTTTGGCCCAAAATACAAAATAGGAAATTCAACTTGTTTACTATGGTCAAATTTTAGCTCAAATCACCATTCAACCTAATACCTTATCATGCTGTAGTGTTTTGGGGTGATTTACTGACCCTGAGAGCTTTCCTCCAAAAATTCAACTCATATCTCAACATTTTAATCATTTACAATAAATACTCAATTCCTTAGAACACTTATTTCTGACTATTTTAACACTCATTAACATATCATTGAAAGATTAACATAAGAGGATGGAGATAATATTTATATAGACATTTCACAAACATCTTTTATGATCTATAACTCAGCAAAGTAATTACATTATCCTTGTTAAGGCAAAGTAAGAGATAATGTTCTGGGTAGATAGGCATATGCTGTGGCATATATTCTCAATTGCAATGTTCCGTGTTTTCAATCACTCTGCTCACTGTCAGAGTCGTCATCGCTGCTTGACCATTCCACAAAGGTATCACACTCACTTAAATCTGATTCACTGTCACTTTCATACTTTGTGTCTTCTAGAATGTCTACCATTTCCCTTGGCATTCCAGATTTGTCCATCCATTTTGGTCGCATTTCCCAATTCTCTATTGTCCAGCCATGTCCACCTGCTGCCTTTGGAATGAATGGCTTGGCCACGTGTGCTAGTTTCCAAATACGCACCTGATAGTTCACACGTTTTATATGCTGAGAAAGACTACTTTGACTTGGTGGCAGAGAAGATATATCAATATTTCCAGTGGAAATTCGACCAACACATTTTGCCTGGAAATCAATGAACCTCAACTGATTCACTTTCTGTATCCTTGAATTATTGTATAATGAGCAGGTGAACTGTTCCAGTATGTCAAATAGGGAATCCCCAATATCCCAAGAGTTTCCAACCTGGACAAAGCTTTCTTGGTACATCTGACTTGTTTCCAGTACTGTAGCTTGATTCCTCTCAGTTTGCCCCTGCCCTTAAATGCACTGGTGCTGTCAGAGAATGTAAATGCGTGGAGAGCAAGCAAAGCTGTACACATTTTATGTCCAAGAAAATTTGCCAGACCTGTGACGTCAATGCAACATCTTTGTTTTCCCTTGCCCGTCTCATACAAGATATTGATGCAATCAGGGTGTGATGAAAATGGAGGAGGATATACAGTATGTCTGTATCAGGACTTCGAACACGAACGAACCTGAATCCTCTCTCCTTGGCGTACATGCAGTAGAGAATCACTCTCGAATCAGTTTCTTCTTGTGTTGAGGCAAGTGAGGGAATTTCGTTGCAAGTAGTTGTTTTACCATCAGACGTCAGCTGAAATGCCTGTCCTTCACATATTAGAATCACCTCACGGCCATTCATTATTTTTGCTTTGTCATCCCTACACCAAGTTTTCAACAAAGTCCTGAAAAGTTGTTTCGTGTTGTCTTCATTCGCGAGGAATGACTTCCAGTCTTTTGGTGGCTTTGTTTTGGGTCCAGATACTGTCAGTTTTTCGCCACAACCTCTCCTCAGTCGTTCAACACCTTTCATAGAATCAACCATATACATACCAGTGCTGAAGACCACAACTGAGGATGAATGACAAAGAGCGGGTGAAAGTATTTTCTGAGAAATGTCTCCAAAATTCCCAGGCACCTCTGTCAGACAGTGAAATATGGCATTTCCATCCTCTATGATGAGAGATTCGCTGGGGTCTGATGGCAAATATGAATCTTTCCAATCTTTTGTCAGGTAATCCCTCCCCTTTGACTTGTCAGTTTTTGCCAAAAATCCATCTAGGCTGTAAGGTACTGGTGTTAATTCAAATGTCATCAACTTCTCAAGATCAAGCTTCGTACCCTCGGGTAGTTGTTGGGATTTGACAAGAAGCCTTATCGCGATGTCACTCTGTTGTTTATATTCAATGCTTTGAGTTGTTGTCAATTTTACGGATTTGTTCATCGTTGCCATTGTCTTCAAATTCAGTCGCTTGATAGGATCAAAGAACTTTTCACTTGTCTCAAGCCTTTCCCGAATGAAGGTCTGCTTTGCTTTCAGTCCAGGATCATCAGCTTTAAGAACATCGGTGGTAACCTGTAACGATGCTGGGGCGCCAGAAGATAAACAATACAGTTTTGTTTTGCGAGATTGTGAATGGATTGATGAAGCTCTGATTTGCTGCAACCGTTCTGATCACTTGCTTCCCCACTCGCTGTTTTTCGACTGGACGGTTGTCTTGATGTTGATCAACACCTGTATGTTCATCTAACATGTCAGCGAAGCTGTATGTAGCTTGTTAAAATTTTACTCGCTCTTTTGCTGATCTTGTCCATCGTTGATAGGCACTGAAATTGATTTGAAGGCCAGGAAGTCCAGCAGATGATGAACCGCTACCTCATGAAAGTTTCTTCTATTGTCTTGTCCACATCCAGCGGCTACCAGGCACGAAGGACCTGGCAACACTTATTGCTCCTCTCTTTAGTAATTCAAGCGAATCTGGGTGTGAACTTTATATGTTTGCCATGTACATCGAAAAGAAGGTCAGGTAGCGTGCATCATTCTGTCCACCAAAACTAAAGAATATATCTGGCATGAGGCTTGGTTTCACAGCTTGATTTAGAGAAAGTATAAGCCATACATGATCCATATATGACATCAACAAGACTGCTGTTTTGCCATGTTGTCCTGAACGTACATCTTGACGAAATCTTTGGTAATCCGCTAGATAACTTCGAAGTCCTGCATCATTTACAAGAGAAGATTCGGTTTCTTTGGTTGGTTCCAAGACATGTTTTTCGATTAGATCTTTTACAGAATCTGCACATTTCTCAAAAGGAACCACTTCTCCATTTTCCTCTATGAACTTTGAAATCAACAATCTCTCCATTGTCCCAACCATCACCTTGTGACAATGTAGTGATCTTGAGTAATTTATTCCTGACATCTCTCCGCTCAACGAACCGGAGGATATCAATCCGGCCTCAATAAGGACATCCGAAAATCCTGTGCCTTCCATCTTTTTGCCCAACATCTTCAAGTATCCACATATAAGATGGAATGTTCCTATCATAACAATGTGGTTCTCGTATCGTTTAGTGCCCGACCAAAGGATAGGGTAAGCCTTCATACAAACTCCAAGATCAAAAGTATTGTCCAACCTCGTTTGACGCTCTTTCCGAAAAGCGGAGACACTCGTTTACAGCCTTGTTGTCTGTAATGGCATGTGGGATGATTGGATAGTATTCTACAGTTGTCAGTCGAGACGGTGCATTACATACCCTCCCAAACCGGGCACATTCTGACTTGTCCTAGAGAGAGAGAGAGAGAAATGGGGTTTAACGTCCACTCGACACAAACTAGGTCATTTCGGGACTAACATATGGTTCAATTTTATTTCCATAATTCGCTTGCGCGTAGGGATCTTTAGCTGTGGGAGGAAACCGGAGGACCCGGAGAAAACCCACGAGGTTGGACAGGCGACCCTACTCCTTGTCACGTACAACCGGGGATTCGAAACCACGCCAGTTGACTCAATGACAGACTTTATGATACAGCGCGCGCACGCTAACCATTCAGCCATCCACCCCCACCCCCCACCCCCCCCCCCGACTTGTCCTAGAACTGTGAAGACGATCACAACAGGTTCTTCAGCATAAACTCTTCGTGAGCCTGACGGCCACCATCAACAAAGTGTTTATTCATGTTCAGTTTTGGACCCTTCCTTTTTCCAACATAACAGTCCGGAAGATCAACTTCTGGGATGTACTGCAGAGATCGTTGCCCCGTTCTTTGCGTTGAACCCAACAAATCCATTGTCTGGTGATTGTCTTCTTCAGGAGCATGATGCCATGTCACCTATGGACAGAGCCTGCACCACACATGTCATTTACATACGCATCGAAATTGTCAAAGTCTGAATGGAAAACAGATGAAGAGGATGGATTGCGGACTATATTAGGGGGCAATAGACTCGATGAGTTTTCAAGGGCGACAACGATCGCAGTTTTCAATTCAAGTAAGAAAGAATAGTTTTCACAATGACCCATGCGGTTGATAAGGAAAATCCGATCAGCACTGCCAAACATATGTCTCAAGGTCATTCCTAATATCACATGCTTTGGTAACTTCCATTTCCCATAGGTAACTGCTCTGCATATATCCTGGCCAAGCGATGGGACTAGGCGGCTTATTTTCCTAGTAGGTTCTCTACCGCCACTTCAAGGACTTTAGGAAGAAGAGAAGATGAAAAATTGAGGTCATTAACTGTAATTGGCCATGGCATTTCATACGTTTCTTTGAATGTCTTGAGGATTTCACGTCGAACATGTTTTGCAACATCAAATACTTTGTATTTCCAAGCTCATATGCAGATGTTATTGCATCTTTAATCTCCATTTTCAAACTATAGACAATCATTGGTTGAGATTTCCTCAAACTACCAACAGTACAAAAACCTATTAGACCTTGTAAGTCTTTGCATTTCTCAAGTTTCCCCCTCAACCTCTGTGATCTGTATTTTGGATTTGCGAAGGGGGTGTTTGATAGATGTGCAACATATAACTTTTGGAGGTCACTCAGGCGTACAACTTGCTGATTTGAAATTATAGTTTTATGGACAAATTCCAAAACTTTTTCCAAGCTCTCTCTGTGTGCTTGCTCTAATTCTTCTTGGATTTTCAAATTGTTTTCAGAATTTGATCCCAATTCTCAGGAATTTTGGCAGTATAGGACCTCTGACAGATTGGGTGACATTTTGCCTCACAAGAGAAAAGAGAAAAGTTTCTCAATAAGTCAAAATCCCCTTGTCCTTCCGCCACTTTGATTATAGGTCTTCCTCCACCACGCTCAAAACTTTTGGTGTCTTCAGTAGTCCAAGCCCCTTTCAGTTTTACTTTTTTTCTTCCTTCCTTTCCGCAGATAATGCAATCAGGATTGAATAGGGTCCTGTCTCTTTTTTCCGAAGATAGTGTTGAGGATCTCGCTTCACTTAATACTTGGGTATCATCAATCAATCGCTTTAGGTTTCCAGTAAATCTTGCATAACATTGTCGATGATAGCCTTGATTCTCTTGATATTCTTCTGGAATTTGTGAACATGGGCCGTCCATGCGATATGGAGATTCAATATGTTGATTAAGCCTCCTCCTTTTAATGTCTTTGATATAATTAAATCGCCCATCTGAATCTTTTGTGTTTTTGATATAGATGAAATCATCATGGTTGATTGCTGTATCTTTTGCATGAATAATACAAATTTGATGGTCCTGTTTTCTTTTTCTTTCTTGATCCATTCAAGTGAAATAACAGCAGTACCTGAAACAAAAATGGAATTACACTCATTCATTACATTATTGCTCTTAAATATTAAAACTTTGTAATGTAAAACTACAATTTTGATGAAATAAGTACATATCATCTATAAACTATTTTACATTTTTAAAAATCTAGCTTGTCTTCTTACTTTAAAAAAATTACATACCTCAACAATGCACATCTGTTGAATCTGTTGTCAGTTGGAGATTTATAAAGAGAGAGACCATGAAGAATAAAAGATGAATCTGAAACATGAGTTGTGCAATGAAATACTACTTTCAACTTATTTCACTATTGAAGAAATTAAAATTCGTTAACAATGACTGGTCCTTTACACATCACAATAGACTAATAATTTTATATATAATGATCATTTTATCAATAAGCTATGTTTTTACCATTCATTTGTTAATTTCAAAAATAATTTCATCATTACAGTGAGAAACAATGACTGGTCCCTTACAAATGATGAGATTAGAATAATCATATTATTTAACTATGTTTTATCACTTTCATTTGTTAATTTTCAAATAAATTTAATCACAACATAGTTAAAAATGCCTTTTTCTATAATATAAATAAATTAAACAACAATGACTGGTCCGTTCCTTGTGAGAGTAGTCTCCCTTTAAATGAAGAAAAATTGGGCCTGAATTTCCCTTTAATTTTAGTATTTTTCCCAATTCAACATACCAATTATTGTTAATATTGGACTCCATGGTTGTTATAAATTACATATATCAACAATGAATAAGAAATACCTACCTTAATGTCGACACAAGCATTGTTTTGTCATCTGTAGAAAAAGTTGTCTGCTATTCAGAAAGGCGGCCATTTTACTTTTTACTTTTTTTTTAAAAGTTTTTTTAAAATTTGTTTTTAATAAAGCTATAGAAAACTGTTGACTTAACAGGCTAATAACATCAATTCTATGTTGATTATATGAAAAACTTCATGTGTCCTCACATTAAACCTCTTTTTTTTTTTTTTTTACATAACTTAGTTAATTATTCTTGGGAAAGGAAAGGCCTACAGCAGAGGATCTACTTATAGTAGTAAAAATATGATTGAATACTACGCTCAAGAGAGTCTGAAAACTGCAACAAGTTGATTTTCCTATTTTGTATTTTTGGGCCAAACAAAAATGAATATTAAAGGAAATTTTCACCTCAAAATAGAATTTGACCTTTCTGAAGGTCACAAATGAAAATATAAAATTACTAAATAATTTCAATGTTAAAGAGTTGTTTAAAAGCAACATATTGGTACCAAATATGCAGAGATGGTTTCACTATGACAGAAGTTATGTGCATTTAACTTCCATCTATTGGTGTGATTTAGGCAAAATACCTAAAATGGGCGTGGTCAACAGAAGGGTGACATTGCTTACAAAAGCTATTATTTTTTCTGTTAACTTGATTTTCTGAAGAGGCAATACATCAATGAATACTGAAATAACAGAAATAACTAACATAAAAAGGATGTTTATTTATTAGGTGCATAGTTACCGGCATAAATTGTATTTTTTAGGGTATTTTTCAGAAAAGTTGAAGTTTGACCTCTGTCAAGGTCATACACGACACGGTCAAATAATGGAAATACACACATTATAAAAAAGGAAGAAAAACAAATATGTTGATATAAAATAAATGGAATTTGATCCACTGTAAGAAGTGTTATGTTTTTGTTTTTTTAATTTCACTACGAGTAGATTTTGGAACTGTTGAAAAAAGTGGGTGTGGTCGGAAAACGGTTGCCATGGCAACTTGGGTCCCAGTATTTTTGCTGTTAACATTATTTTTCTGAAAGGGCAGATCATAGGCAATGTGAAAATACCAAAAATGTTTATTCATGGGTGGGGGTGCACAGTTACCCCTCCTAGCCCATGGACTATAAGCGGTGTATGTTTCACAATGCGTCCATAATGAGTGCTACAGGCAATTTAAAGGAGCTAAACCTATAATTCAATATTATCCATAATATTCAAAATTAAAAACACGAATTCGAATTCAATATTGGTCCATTTCAATCAATGTGGATATTGCTATCTTGCCGTGAAAACTCCAATATTTAAGACACAATGAGTATTTCATAATCAGTACACGAGTCGTGTATTCCTTGGTTTCTGGTGCCATTTGTACTGAACACAGAAAAAAAATATCCCACATAACAATGCGGAAGTAATTAGTAATGGATGATTCGCAAACGACAAAATAATAATTAAAGAAACGTGAACAATGGACTGTCGTTCAATTTGGACCGTTCACATATTTCACTAAACACAATACATTATAAATTATATATTTCTTTTTTAAAAAACCTGAATATAAATCATGTTACATTAATTGTGCTTTTAGATCCATTTTCGTCTATATTAAGATTCCAAAGAATAGAGCCGTGCGCTCTTTTATGTGTATGTACTCACCCGTCATTGAACTATATTCACCGATGAATCGTTTGGTCAGGAAACGTACCGTTATAGCTACAAATAACAAAATATGGTATGCAAATCTATTCAATCAATAGGCTTGTCGGAAAATTTAAACGGATTTCTTCGATTGTGAACAAACTGCTTAAAAACCTTTTCCGCTTTAGACCACAATTTCGAAATCAACCAAGTAAATTTAATTTCAAAAAGTTATATAATAATCTAACATCACAAATCAGGAAATGTATAGTAGACTTGGTCTGATAAATTTCGTGCACCTCTAAAATCTTTTGGAGATTGGAAAAACATGGGTTTTGATCTCCTGTCAAAGAGAATCAAGTATATAAAACAAAACCCAAGACGCCCCCCACCCGAGGTCCTAAATAACAATACATCTGCAGCTGAATGCCTTGCTACTCTTTAAGAGAGATTTGCTTTAACGCCTGTCGATAAAGCTTAGCATCAATATTGCTTTGACCTGTAAAAAATACTATCTTAGGAATATTCTTACTGAAGTTGGACTTTGGCCGATACCAAAAATGACACTTATAAATGCATTACGGATTTAACTAAACTAGATACTTTACATAATCTATATACTTTCATCAGAAGCAATGATATTAAAGATAATGTTAAAATAGATGCACTAGCTTACATTTATTATATACCTAAATTCCATAAAAACCCAGTACAATTCAGGTCCATAATATCAACCAGCAACTGCCAAACAAAACCATTGGCTAAAACAATAACCAAAGGACTTAAATTATGTCAAACCCAACATGCCATTTGGTGCAGAACACTTCGCAGTTAAACTGGCAGTAATAGCTTTTTCATAATTGATAAAAATAAACCCATTATAAAAACTTAATGCAAAAACAATAGAAACGTTTGGTTTTTCTACTTTGTGTATACTATGCTTCAACATTCAGGGCCCTGTTTCACCAAAACATAAAATCATCTTTTAACTAAAATTGCATCCTAACTTAAAATAGATGCTTTTCACAAAACGATTTTAAGCATTTTAGATAAAATCCACTAAAATAGTATTTTAAGTTAACATTTTATCTTAAATTAAAATAGTACGATTTCTTCAGCATACCTGTTTTGCATTTCTTGTAGGTGTAATGCGTATTATATTTTGTGGAATTACATAGCTGAATAATTCCGATTAGTTCCTAAATCGATAGTTTATTAACCATTTGGCGTTATCTTATCTGGATTATCGCCCTTTTTAATGTTTTTTTTAATTACATTTCAACCTTTGGCGTTATTGGCAACCTACCGCCTTTTACGTCACGTCATTCAGTCAGCAGACGGCTGTCTTTTGAGACGGTTTGCATTTTCTCGTTTGCTTCTTTGTATTCAGTATTGTTTGTTTTTTACTCTGTGGTAAATGAAACATACGCCCTAACTATAGTCATATGGTTTTACGGTTATGATAATTTGTAAAATGATATATCAATAATCTCAAATATGTTTATTGAAAAATGTTATAGGTCTATTTGAAATTAAATTTTAATTAGAGAAGTTTTTAGAAACCAAAATAATTTTATTTTGAGTAAGATAGATAGGCATTATCCAATAAGGAGTGTGGTACTTTGGTAATTTCAAAGTATTTTTTAAAGCAGTGTGGAGTGACATTGGCTATTTGGTTGTTTTGTTTCAAAGCTGTTAAATACTTTTAAAATTCGACAACAGTTTACAGCCTAGATTAGTCGTTTGAGTCACAAATATCATATGTCTGTAACAATTCTCACGCGATTTAATATAGTTTATCGATACACATTATTTACATTGAAGCCTATGAATAAATCAAATGCCAAGGTCACGAACCAGCTGCCAAGTTCAAGGCCAACCTACCGATATATTTCCAAAGGAATAATAGGCAATAAATTCATTTATTTCACCTCGATACGACTGTCTGACCATGTGCAAACATTGCTACAACGTATGAAACTCTCCCCATTGATATTGTACCCGGCAGTTCAACATGCCAACAGTTTTCAGTTTCGAAGCGTATTTGCTTACGCCGTAAGTATCGGCATCGGAAATGTGCACTGCGCGGGCGCAAACAATTTTAACTAAAATCTATTAAAATTACAGTTTAAGTTACATTCGATCTTCGGGAAACGCATAAAATTTTGATTTTAGTTAAAATCTATTTTAGTGGTTTTACCTTAAGTTTTTGCGAAACAGGTCCTAGGTTTTAAAGATAATTTGGATTGGTTTGGGCATAAAATGGAGCTCTCGGGAAAGGCAGAAACTTGATGGCCATTTACTCAGAAGACGCTAAATGGATTATAAAACGTCGCAATGCCGACGCTGTGGTTTTTGATTAAGAAAAGTTTCAAAATATTATAAATTTTCTCATTGATAATGCCATATTTGAGGTTAGGGATCAGATAATACAGCAAACTATTGGTTTACCAATGGGAACTGTCCCCGCCCCATTTATGGCAAACGCACATTTATATAAATATAAATTCTGCTTTCAGGATCATAAACAAAAAACAGATTACAAAGTAGCTAAAAGTCTAAACTATACTTTCCGATACATTGATGACATAACACCTATCAATGATAACGGAACTTTCAACAGAACTAATATTAAATGAAGAAAATTCTGCTACTATAAATGCATCTGTTCTTGACCTGGATTTAAATATAGTTAACAATAAATTTAATTATCTTATATAATATTTATTTTAAATTTTCTGTAGTTTCCTAATCCTACCTGAATTATCGCCTTTATATAAATACACTTTCATAACACGATTTCTTCAGCATACCTGTTTTGCATTTCTTGTAGGTGTATTACGTATTATATTTTGTGCAATTACATAGCTAAATAATTCCGGTTTGTTCCTAAATCGATAGTTTACAAACCTTTTGGTGTTATCTTATCTGGGTTATCGCCCTTTTTAATGTTTTTATTACATTTCAACCTTTGACCTCATTGGCAACCTACCGCCTTTTACGTCAGGCCATTCAGTCAGCAGACGACTGCCTGTCGAGACGGTTTACATGTTGTCGTTTGCTTCTTTGTATTCAGTTTTGTTTGTTTTTGACCCCCGCCTTTCGAAGAAAGCAGGGGACTATTAAAATGGATTCGCCCGTCTGTCTGTCTGTCGGTCACACTTTTTGGGACACAATAACTCTCTTTCTAATTGAGCTAGAATGTTCAAACTTGGTTTAGGTGTTTATTATTAGGCTAAGGAGCGATGAGCAATTTGATTGGTCAAGACATGGACGTTTTTGATTTTTGTCTTAATAATGAGTAATAATCACGATTTGGGGCAATCTGACCCACTCCTCTTGCAGTGCCATGGCCAATTATTGCAGTGTTGTCGGTTGACGTTGACGTTGACAAACACGTCTCCCGATCTTGTCCCAGACATGCTCTATAGGGGAAAGGTCGGGCTTCATGGCTGGTCAAAACATATGGACAATATGGTGACGCTGGAGGTAGTCATTCACGACACGAGCTCGATGGGCACGGGCATTATCATTATGGTAGTACACACCAGTGACCCTTCTGCCAGTCATGGTGATTCCTCCCCACACCATAACACCACGCCCGAATCTGTCATGCTGTCTGACGTTAACGTTAGCATGACGCTCATTTACACGCCTCCAAACGCGAACACGCCTATTGGTGAAATCCAGAGTAAATCTTGACTCATCTGAGAACATAACACACGCCCATCGTCGATACCCCAATTTCTACGCTACCTATATCAATGACGTCTGTTTGCCATCTGGCGAGTTAATGGAGGCACAACACGCGGTCGTCGCGCATGCAAATGGGCTGCATGTAGCCGATTTCTAATCGTTGGGGTGTATCTTGAATTCCTGTAACTTGGTACAAGTTTACAGAAAGCTGATTGGCCGTTTGTCCTCGATTTCGCAGGACCTGTGTACGAATGTATCGATCATGGGCTTGTTTAGTGGCTCTAGGACGATCTGAACGGGGTCTATCATCAGCAACGTGTGTTTGTTGGTACCGGTTCCACAGTCTGCTGATCACAGACTGTGACACATTAAGCATGTTGGCTACTACTCGCTGTGTAGAACCCATTTGAAGCATGCCAATAGCATGTAGACGTTCATCATGTTGAAGACCGATAGGAAAGCAAACATGGATAGGATAAACCAGGACGCGGCAGTTTTCATCATGTTGAAGACGTCTCATTGCAAACTAAACGTAACACACTAAAGCAAAGATACGCTAAACAGTAAATCTTATGCAAGAACCGATAGGAAAGCAAACATTTATAGGATAAACCAGGACGCGGCAGTTTTCATCAACCCTTCCTTGAAGTGTCAAATTTGGCAATGAACCCCTCCCACGTGTAATGGCACTATTGCGTGTCGCATGTGCAGCTCAGTGGTTCTATTGGGGCGATAAGTTCTTCATCTGTTCCGTGGATCGATCAATTTTTACGTCTAAAAATGTTAACTGTAAATTGCACTCTAGGGTGGATGGAGTTCAGATGGTCTTACGGTTGAGCTTCGTCTTAATGTTCCTCTAGGACGACGAACGCGTCGTCGACCCTTCGGTACCAGCAGGACGATTGAAATGGTGATGTTCTTAATACCGTTTCTTCAAATGACGTCATATAGAGTTCTGTTATAAGAGGACTGATCGGTGATAGGTAGGTCATGTATTTGCCCGAAATATTCATTCTTCCAGGTAAAATAGGTGGATGTTTTAAGTTGTGGTATTATTTCTTGGATTTTGGTAATGGCAACGTCTAAGGCTTCCGGGATTGGTATATAGTGCATTAGTGAACATCCCAGTCACCCAGTTTGTAACAAGTAAATAAGTTTAATATCAAAAAGAAAAAGCAGTCTCCAGAAACGAAACAAAAAGATCCTATCTTGGAAATAAATACATCCTCGTCCTCCTGCTCACCCATGGTCATATTGGTACGGTCCCTATCAAAGCACGTGCTGAGAGCTGTATAAGATAAGACAGACCATTTTTGCGGCAACTGCATTGCCCCGTGCAGACCGTTTTACAACAACCTTTTGTGAGTTGAATTGCAGTA